TTAAAACAAAACTTACAACAGTTACTTTTCTCAACAACTGAAATTTAGAATAGTGTGATTAAGAAAAATATGTGAACTGTTTGCAATTTCAAATTAATATTGAAATGTACAGGTTTAGAATTTTCTACAGTGAAAAGTTTTCGGAACTTCAGTATTCAAAAAAGTATACAAAAACTAGACGTTAAGAACGTATCCAATGAGCGAGCAAAGCGAGCATTGGATTGCGAAGCAATCCGAAATGAACTGTGAAAGCAGTTCTGGGGGTTGGTGAGCTCCAGCGAGCAGGGGGCGAAGCCTCCTAGTATATATATAATTATATTGTAAAATAATTATTTTGTATTTTGTTAATGTATACAGTGCTTAAAAATATTTTTTGAGTGCTTAAAAAGTACTTAAAAGGTGCTTATTTTTTGTTTAAAGATTTGGCTATGCACCCTGATGACAGATATATCTGTTTATGGGAATTAGACCTAGGTTTGCCAAAGTTAGTCTAGCCCAGAAATGCCCAGCTGGTTTTTACTGGCAGAATACTTGAAGAGGAAGTGTTAATTGATAACTCACATGCAAAAATTTAAGATATTCAGATTTATAGTAGCAAAAATTAATGTAAAATAATAAAGATGAACAAATATAAAGCTCTGGGTAAAGGAAACCACTTTATTAAATTGTGTCGCTTTTTAGTCTGTAAAACAAATAACCTGAAATATTACTAACTACACATATTGCATAGTTTATTTGAATTGTAATTTCTTCAGGGTTTGTTAAAAATACATCAACTTATATGTATGATATACATCCAATTTTAATTTAAAATGTTTTCTTAATCTGGTATTTAAAGTAAAAAATGTGTAAATAAACTTTCTACTTATAAAAAAGCTTGTCGATTGATGAGAATTTTAAAAATCTTTATTTTTTCACTACATTCAATACAGAATAAAATAGATTTTATTAAGTGCATTATTATGCATTGTAACTGACATAATTATTCCTAACATTAATGTTTGCAGTTTCCTTTTGTAATTCTGACATCTGCTTCACTCTTCTGAGGAAAAAACTAGTCATCAAATTTATTAGCTAAAAGTATTCAGTATTTGTTCTGATTATTATGTATTCTTTATTTTCTAGCTTCTTTTTAAATGATATTTATTATTTTCTAGAGTATGTTTGAAGATTTTTCTCTTTGAGATCTAGTTTATTAATTGTCAATTCTACTTTTTTGTTAATTTGTCATTACACTGTCTTTTTTTTTGTGTGTGTGCTAGAGCTGAATCATATGTTTATTTCAACCTACTCATATCTTCATTGTTACTGCTTCTTTACAATTATAGTTAATATAATTTTTTTACTATTTCACATCTTTGTTTTCATAGTCCCATAAATCATTAACTTTTGGGCACGAACTCCACTTAAGCATATGTGTTTCTATCTTTGAAATCCTGATCCATCTGTTCTAGTAATTTATTTTCAGTTCAATTTTACTTCATTTTATTCAGATTAATTTTGTTTCTGATTAGTTGGTTCAAAGTTTAGTTGAGTATTTAATTCCGAAAATGCATTTTTGGACTTCATCCAGTTGAATAGACTGTCATCTACTTGGTCACTGATTATTTTTGCGTGAAACTGATCATTTTTCTGTTATTTTAGCCACGGTTTTAAAATAAGATATTAGTTTCAATGATTCATAGGTTTTTATATTAGAGTTCTGGTAAGCAATTATGTGTGACGTTATTTTCAATCCAAATCATATCTGTTCAAGTGACTGATTATTTTGAGGTCAATTTAATTTGAATCCTAACCCATCTTCATGATTACTGATTATTCTCAAATCTATATTATCTTTTATTCTTTCATTTTAACTATATTGTAATTGTGTATTAGTTTAATTTTTTTTTTTTTTTTCGAAAAAAAAAGTTTAGGTTAGAGTTTACAGGTTACATGTTTCTAAACCCATCGCTTTACTATTTTATTTATAATTTAATTAGGTATAAAATTGCACTCTTCCCTAAAAGTATTATTTACTTAGCTTAAATCCTTAAAAATAGTAACGAATTTTGTTAAGTCAAATATTTTCAAACAAAATATTTGACTAAACAAAAATATTTGAAACTAAAATTTAAATATTCAAAACAATATTCAACAAGAATGGCTGTCTTAGCTTTTCTTTCCAAATTTACTGAACATAATACTTTGAAATTTTATTGAATGCAATAATTAAGAAGAAATGTGACAATTTTTGTTCATGAAGAAAAAAGTGTAAGGTGATGGTAACGATGAAAATTATTTTATACTTCTGGGTATTTTGCTGTTTATTGTTATAAGTTTACAAATTTAAAATAACATTAATTAGAAATATATCTTAGGTTAGCATCTATTTTATTCTCTCATTTTTTTTTTTTTTTTTTTCCTTTAACAAAAGTTATTAAGTTTTAATTCATTCCTATAGCTTATTTATTTTTGAAAATTCTTTGATTAAATTCCTTTTGGAAAAAGTTTATTTTTTTCCGAGACACTGAAAGGAACAAAAATAAACTAAAATTTGAAAAAGACCAGTGCAATTGTTAAACAAATAAGTACTAGCTTAAATTCAAACACATTAAATTTAGTATAGCACAAAAAGTTAAGTTTCTCTTCACACATACTCTTTTTAAATTTTTCTGTAGAAAAACTGGGCTTGTTTAATATTTTAGAATCTTGTTTCTGTTTGCTAGTATCTTATTTGATAATAAATTTTGTTGATTGTTTTAGAAGTTTAAATTTCGTCATGAAATTGTATATTAATTACATGTGCATGTAGTTAATATACAATTGCTTAGGTGTTGGTTATGAAATACTGAAAAAACAAATTTGTACAATTTATAATTTTTTAGACATAAGATATACAAACAGATAGGGTTAAAAATTATAATCTAAGAATCAAGCATCAATGACCTCTAAATATTTTATTTGTAGCAAAAGCGATTCTGCTAGTTGTACTTTTAAACTTATATTTTTATCCACAATATTTATCCTTTTTTTATTACGTTTCGTAAACAACTTTTTCAGGGGTCATTCTATACCGTAAAAAGCTTAGGGCGCTAAAAAATTTTATGCGCTATAGTCTCATAAAAATAAGCACCTATTACAAAGAAAAGCATATTTCACCAAAAATTGATTAGCTTTTAAAATACCCTATGTATACAAAATTTTTAATTTTATTATTAAAAAGGAAATCTTTCTTTTAAAGAGAAATAATTGACTTTTAAAATCTATTTCAAAATGGCCAATATCATGTAGATTTTCAGTGCAATCATTCTGAATCAAACCTGTAAAAAAATCTACTAAAATACGAAATTTGCTGGACAAAATTACGAAATTAGTATTGCAATGAAACGAAATCTGTCTTTTTTATTTGTATATGTAATGAAATACCAATATGAACGAAGCAGAAAAATAAAAATTCCTCACGTGACTTATTAGCTTCGAAGTCTATATGTACATAAGAGATCTGCTTGATTTGCTATGTAACAATTCTAGGTTTGTTTTTTCCTTACTTAGTACCTTTTTGATGTTTGCAGAAAATTGTTAGAACTGGCCTATACTATTTTAGCTTCATTTTAAAAAACAATATGTAATTTCTTTATATTGAAAATTCTATTTGTATTCTTTTCATAGGTTGCAGGCTCTATGAAATTAGAGTTGGCTCAANATGGTGACTACTCAAAGCGTAATCTATAGGATATTTAACCATGATATTTCAGCTATACTAAACTATTTCATTTACTATAGCATTATTTAAGTATGTTCAGCTGTTTTTCTAGCAATTAAAACTAATATATATAGTTAGCCCACTATAGCTCACACAAGAGCTCAGTAATTGTTGTTTCCTCTTAATATATCACTTATAATATGTACAGGGAAAACACAGGGAATTTTTTTTTTTTTCAGATTTGAGTGGCAACCCTGATATGTTTAATTCTGTTTGTATTATTAAATAATAAATTACTGAAGATTTCTGCATCCCCATTAAAATCTTTATTTTTAATTGAAATACTTAGAAAACAAATGTGTAAAATTTATAATTTTTTGGACATAAGATATACAGATAGGGTTAGAAATTAGAATCTAAGAATCTGGCATCAATGACCTCTAAATATTTTTATTTCTAGCAAAAACAATTTTGCTAGTTGTACTTTTAAACTTATATTTTTTTTTTTATCCACAATATTTATCCTTTTTTTATTACATTTCGTAAACAACTTTTTCAGGTGTCATTTTATACCGTAAAAAGCTTAGGGCGCTTAAGATTTAATGCGCTATATCCTCACAAAAATAAGCACCTATTACAAAGAAAGGCATATTTCACCAAAAATTGCTTCAAATCGTTCGGAAATTCTTGTAGATTTTCAGTGCAGTCATTCTGAATCAAACCTGTAAAAAAATTGACTAAAATACGAAATTTGCTTGACAAAATTACGAAATTAGTATTGCAATGAAGCTGAATCTGTCTTTTTTTATTTGTATATGTTATGTAATGAAATACCAATGTGAACAAAGCAGAAAAATACATATTCCTCACATTACTTATTAGCTTCGAAGTCTATATGTACATAAGAGATCTGCTTGATTTGCTATGTAACAATTTTAGGTTTGTTTGTTTTTTCCTTACTTTGTATCTTTTTAAAGTTTGCAGCAAATTGTTAGAACTGGCCCATACAATTTTAGCTTCATTTTAAAAAACAATATATAATTTCTTTATATTGAAAATTCTATTTGTATTCTTTTCATAGGTTGCAGGCTCTATGAAATTAGAGTTGGCTCAATATCGTGAAGTAGCTGCTTTTGCCCAGTTTGGTTCAGATTTAGATGCATCTACACAACAGCTTTTGAGCAGAGGTGTAAGACTTACTGAGTTGTTAAAACAAGGACAGTATGGTATGTTTACTTTCTCATTTAAGGACTTTTTAAATTGATTCAGCTGTTCCCCCTCTGGGTTTTTTTTTTTTATAAATGTACATAAAAAAAATAATAAATTTAAAAATAATTGTTTACCCGCATCCTATAAGTAGATAAAGTACTGCATAATAGAAAAACTTATAGTATAATTTTCCCTAGAAAATTAACAAGAGTAGTATCAAGTAGCATTCAATTAGTTGTACTGAAAATACCCATTTAAATTTTAATAATAAATATTATTTAAAAATATAAATCTAAAAGGCATTTGAGAATGTATGCCAAAAGATAACTAAATTGCAGTTTCAGACAGTTATTTCTTTACTATATCTTGTAGGAAGCCATTTTTATTAGTAGTGTCTTCAGATCAGCAATGTTATAAAACCTTGGAAATATTTGTATCTATAATAATATATACATTCATTGTTGTTTTAAAAAGGTTCCCTTCTAATTGCAACAGGGTTAGAGATATCTAAATATAGATGGATTCCGATTGAAATTAGTTAAATATTTGTTAAAACCCTATAAATCTTATTTACATAAGGCATATTAAGCAAATTTTTTAACTAAAATAATTTGCAATTTTATATAAAATGTTAACATTTAAAAAATGTTATTATTTTGCTTGCACTTGATATAATTATGTACTACTATCCTTCTGTTGCAGTATAGTGCGACGCAGTCTTATTTTTATATATGTCATAACTGCCAATTCTACTGGATTTTCCAGTAGACTACTAGATTTTGCCCGTTTCTCCTGGTCTACTGGTTTAATAAAAAAAAAAAATTCTGTTTTTTGCACTTTTTAGAAACTTCCATAAAATTTAGTAAGTTTCCTGAAAAAAGTCCTATTGGAATAGAATTTTTTCAAAATTTTTTGCTTGCTTGAATATTTAAATAATTATTGCCAATACATAATGAAGCGAACCTCGTTTATAATTTTCAGTTTATTTTTATTTAGTATGTATAATAATTTTAAAAAATCTTAACTATCAATAATAGATTACTTATCTATTATTCAAAATTATGAGTTTACATAAAAACATTTCAAGTTCATATAATATCAAACATAAATGAAAAATGTAGCCAGCCATTTATTGTAAAAGATTGTCTTAATAGTGTAAAATAGTTTTCGTATTTTTATGATAATTAAAAAATCCCTAAGTTTCCCTAGATGTAAAATATTTCGTATATTTTGCAACAGTTATTAATAACTCAAATGCATTTTTTCATATCCATGTTGGCAATTATGTATCGATATAAATCTGGGATAAAAGTGGTTAGTTCTTTTACAAAGTGATATTTTATTATCTGTAACATCTTAACTTGATTTTTTTTTTCTTGTTACAAATCCAGCGTGATTTAATTACTGGAAAAACTTAACAATGTCACTTGTTGTGTTTTCCTTTAATTTAAGAATCCGTTAATGAACCTAACTATTTTCCTACTGTTTAATTATCATTTGTTTATAAATTAAATTACTATAAACTATCGGTGTTTTAGAAATAATGTTAATATATAAGTTTTATCTTTGTAAAATTTATTATTTTATTGACTTTGTGATCATTTTCAGTACCAATGCCCATTGAGGACCAAGTTGCCGTTATCTACACTGGTGTCCGAGGCTACCTAGATAAACTTGACCCATCTCGAATTGGTCAATTTGAGAAAGATTTCTTGCAACACGTCAAGAGCAGTCACCAAGATCTTCTTGACACCATTGCAAAGGAAGGAAAAATCAGTGATGAAACAGATAAGAAAATGAAGAAATTAGTATCTGAATTTGTTGCTAACTTTCAAGCTTAGGACCCAAATTCTTTAAATTAACTTTTGTTTCTTCTAAAACTTCATTTTAGAGTATTAAAAAAAATATTTAGATGTACATGATGCAATTTCTGAAATTCGTTCACATGTCATTTTCACATGAGATTGGCCAGGAAAAGTTGTAGATGAACTTGTTTTTCAAATGCCTGCCCTGGAAATATATTTCAATACTTTGATTTTTTTTTTACAATAAAAATCTGAAATACCTCTTTTGTTGTTTTTGTTTAAGAAATATTTCTTTCCTCTTTGACACTGCTATATCTATTGGATTCATTTAATCTTAATTATCAAATTAATAGTCATAGGGTTTTGTTTTGTTATCACAAAACTTGATACTTTAGATGAGTGCAGTCAAAATTCTTTTTTTTTTAGAGAAGGTCTTAATATTTTAGTATTTCTCAATTTTTGCATAGAGAAACATTTTCTTAGACTGAAAGAGAAAAATTTTAAAGAAGCTATCACCAGGTCTTGAACCAGTCAAAGAAATTAATATATATTTTATTTTTTAATCGAATTTAATTTGAACAATCCCTTAAAAGTATATACTAAAATTTTATTTTGTTGTGAAGTTTTATCTGTATTTTAAAATTTAGTTCCACTTTGAAAATTATAGCCTTTAAGCAATTTTATCGAATTTTTTAATCAAAAGAACTAGATATTTATCTATATGCAGCTCAAAATTAAAATGGTAATAATCAGTGTTTTTAAGAGTCTGGCAGTTTTTTTAAACTTTATTTTGTTGACATTTATAAGGTGTATGTGTTTTTAAGGTCAAAATTAAAGTTTCTGTAAAATTTTAACATCAATTTACATGGTATTGAGTCTTAAGACTTTAACCTTTAAAATCTGCTTATGCAGACAGTAATTCACAAAGCTATATGTTTCAATATATAATTAATGAGTAGTACCCATGAAAAAGCAAGATCTCTGTGGTGTACTCTTGTGTGTGTTTTTTTTTTTTTTTTTTTTTTTTTGCTTTGCCGAAAGTGATCAGTTATAAAATTATTTGGAAAAAAAATTTTAACTATAGCAGAAAGAAAATTTAATTTAGATATATGGGGACTTATTCAACTTTTATAATGTGGTCTCTAAGCTTTGAATACCTAAATAATTAGGGGAAAACAGGTGTAGTTTAAAAAAAATTTTGATTACACCCTATATGAATATCTGAAGTAGTTAAAACCCTCCTTGAAGCTAATTTCCTCAAAGCTATGGGTTCAGGTTGGTCATTAACCTCACCCCTAAAGGCACTTCTATCTGTGATGCAGCGTCAAGGGTGAGTACTTAACTTGCCATCACAATTTGTGAGGTCACTTTCTTAATTAAGACACAGATCTGAATGAGGAAAGTTCAGGTCCCTGTACCTATGATACTGCTCATTGACAGACTACTGGACTTTCAATTCCACAGATTTTACGAGCATGTACTCAGCGGAGCTTGTCAAAGTCGAGGTTCGAATCCCGGACCAGAGTCAAATTCTCTAACCACTGGGCTGCTTCAGCCCTGCAGAAGGTAGTAGGTAGCCTTAGTTGACCGTCTATACTGTTGCAGACATTGTCTAACTGATTGAGCATAAATTTGTTTTGCAAACGACTACAGATTCACGCACATTGTTCATAATGTGTTTGGTGGTCATGCAGATTAGATATCTTTTTAGCATTTGGTAATAGGGGGCTACTGAAACCCAGATCGATTAGCATAACCATCCTGAACCTGTCTATCCCGTATTCTGTCGAAGGTTAAGGGTTATAGGCTAATTCAAGCAGCAATACTGTTGTGACCCCCTCCCTACACTTGTCCTCAGAACTGCTCACGCTCTAAGCTTCGTTATCTAAGTTCGCCTTGCTTACTCCTTTATCTACAAAGGAAAAAGTTACAAATAAAATCTTAATTGGCAATCCACTCAATATAATTGTTTTGATGTTCGCTTGTAAAAAACGCAACTTAATATTTTAATTACTCCCCCAGTAGCAGAATTTACTCAGTCGATTTCACCATCTTAATAAATCCTAAAACCTGGTAGAGATTATTATTGTAAAAATATTTCTTACCCAATAATATGTAAGGCTAAATTTTAATTCGAAAATTTAAGGTAGGTAAAAAATTAACTCTAGAAATATAGATTTTATAAATTTAATTTAAAACGTGAAATTATACTTAATAAGAAAGAAAGAATAAATCTATATTTAAAGCATCTAAACTAAACAGAAAAAAAAGTTATACAGATTAAATTTAGCTTAAAATTAATGCAATAAATGTTACCTAGAAGTACCATTCCAGCGTATTCAATTACAACAGAAATATCCATAATGATCACAGATTAAAAATAATCTACAGACACTGATAATCTCCAATACCCGATGCCATGCTGGAGAAACTTAGCTCAACTTTTGCACGCCATTTTGCTTATAAACAATCAGCTAACGTCATAGGTCCCATGTGTGGGTATCAGTGATCTTCTCTTGAAGTGCAAGTACCCAAATTTTCCTCCAAATACGGATTTGACAAACGTTCTAGTTTTCGATTGTGAGTTGTTTTTTTAACGAATTAGACTTGTTTTGGTCAGAACAAAACGCAGGCAATTATCTAAATTAACTGTTATTCATGATAGTAGAATACTATATTTTAGCAAGACAAAAAAATAACGCATTTTCTCTGATAAACTTTGTCCCTTAATATTCTCTATTATATATATATATCTTTGTCTCTTAATATTATATTAATTCTTTTTAAATGATCTACAAACATTCAATAACTAGGGACAGAACGAACCATGGACATAAAGTTAAACAGTCATAATAGTTAAATAAATAATCCCTAGAAACTGGAGCGGTAAGATATTTGATAAAAAAAAAAACTCATTCGCTTCAAGAATATGTAGACAGGAAATAGCAGTCGATATGTTTCAAGCTCTCATTTTCAAGAGAAGANATAGTTAAATAAATAATCCCTAGAAACTGGAGCGGTAAGATATTAGATAAAAAAAAACTCATTCGCTTCAAGAATATGTAGACAGGAAATAGCAGTCGATATGTTTCAAGAGAAGAAACAAAAGTGATTACAAATATAAAAAGTAAAGTTGTGAACAAAAAATGGATTTTTCGTTGAATTCTTTTTTTTTTTTTTGCCATTTTATGTTGGCAACTTTACGTTTCATATTTCGAATTACTTTCATTTCTTCTCATTCAGGTCTGGCAACTGTTACTTCCAATAATCTGTTTTCGAAGCGAGATAAATTTTAAATAGGTAATAGTCATAATAATTCTCTACATTCTACACATGAGAAAAAAAATTTTTACATGTGCTAAATACCTGCAAAAAGATAAATAATTTTTCTCTCTCTCTTATTTTCAACTTTTATGGAATTTAAATCGATGGCGATTCACTAAAATTTTATTCATTGGTCTGAAATATTAATGGAGACGTTTAAAAATTTTCAATTATTGAAGGAGACATATACCAGACGCCCATGAAACGAATGTTTGTAAGAAATTTTGTATGAAGTATAGTTTTTATACAAGTTTTTTTTCTACAGCTAATTCAAAATATTTGTAGAAATATCGGATTTATTTCCTAAGAAATGATAGATTTTTTCTGGGTGTTTTAAAAATGAAAACTGCGCGCCGGCAACCAAAATCATAACTAGAAGACCTATCAGCTGTATTAATCTGCATTACAAATCAATGTCAATAACCTGATTAGTGTGGCTAGCATATAATTCACAAGGGAAAAACTATCAGCGGTCATTTCCATTTCAAGTTGTGTTTTCTTTTTTTCATTCCCTTATACCCGCATCATTGTAATATTAATTTTTTCCCTGTTCGACCTAATTTCAGCAATTTTAGCCGCTTCCTTCTCTTTTTTTTCTTTAATATAGGGAGTGGTACAAACGAAACAAATTGTCTGCGATTTTAACAACCTTAGCTCAGCAGTCATGAATTCAATCAATCTGAATGGGAATACTATAACAATATTAATGAAATCAAAAGGGGAATTTCCAACTAGATCAGTAATCAGATTTATGAACATTATTCTATTCGCAGACGATATTCCTTTTTTTGTTATTTTATGGAGAATCGTTTGGAAATAGTCGATATTACGCCTATCTAACAAAGGGTAATATATATCCTTCTAGTCATTATATTTTCTAGAAATATCTGGATAATTCTTATTGTGTATACCTTACCAAAAAAGTAAGAAGAATTTAGAAGAATCTGAATAAGAATATAACAATATTAATGAAATCAAAAGGGGAATTTCCAACTAGATCAGTAATCAGATTTATCAACATTATTTTATTCGCAGACGATATTCTTTTTTTTTGTTATTTTATGGAGAATCGTTTGGAAATAGTCGATAATACGCCTATCTAACAAAGGGTAATATATATCCTTCTAGTCATTATATTTTCTAGAAATATCTGGATAATTCTTATTGTGTATACCTTATCAAAAAAGTAAGAAGAATTTAAAACCACTCACTAAAAGATACCGACGAGAAATTTTGTATTAATGTATGTTACTAAATGTATACTGTTTTCTACAAGGATAATATTGCTTTAAAAAAAAACTGAATGTTATCATTCAGTTTTAAATTCGGCCATCTAAAAAGCATTACCTGATCAGATGCTCTTTGACCAAATGGATGCTGGTAAATTAAATTATTTCGCGAATCATCACGCAATATACGCATTAAGATTTATTCTAGATTTTCAAAAGAAGAAATTGCTAAAAATTATTCTATAATCACTTTTAAAAGCATATAAATTTTTAAAGTAGTTTTATACAATATTCTTAGAAATATACGGGCTGACAAAGAATAACTTCGAGAGTTATAGTTCTATAATTTTAATGCTTAGTAAAATAATACAAACCAACTTTCAAATCAATAATGTTACTACCTGCAATATATTTACAAATTCTTAAAGTAACCATCTTTGGCCTTAATGCGGAGTTGCAAATAAAAGTTTCTGCTTGTCTTAACTCATCTGCTGATATTTCGTCCTATTAATCATACATGGAGTTTTAAAGGATGGCAGTTTTGCAAAGTTTAGTGCATCATCAACAGAAAAAATTCCATTGAATTGAAATCTGTGAAATAATATGGCCATTCTTTTGCTGCAGTAAAGCCAGGAAAATTTGGCTTGTCTTATTCTTGAGTGCTTTTAGTCTGGTGTACTGGAGCAATATCCCGCTGAAATATCTATTT